ACACCACACATGCACACCTTGCCAAGCGCCCTGCCCCCCTGCCCCCGCGCCCCGCAGCATGATGCTCAAGTATGTGCGCCACGCCGAGGCTAACCCCGAGACCCTGCTCACCCGCTTCTACGGCGTGCACCGCGTCAAGCCCTCGCACGGCCGCAAGGTGCCGGGCCGGCAGCCCGGCGCAGCGGGGGCTTTCTTTCTGCGTGCTTGCGCCTCTGTCTAGCTCAGCTCTGGCTCCACCCTGCTCGTGCCCACCCCCCACACCACGCCACACCGCCAGCAACCGCCACACACCAACCGCTCACTCGCCCTGGCGCCCCACCCCGCCTCCTCCACCCCCTCCGCCCTCCTTCCCGGGCACGTGCGCAGGTGCGGTTTGTGGTGATGAACAACGTCTTTCGCACTGACCTGGACCTTCACCGCAAGTACGACCTCAAGGGCTCCACCTACGGCCGCACCGCGGGCCCCCGCCCCAGCTCCGCGGGTGGGTGGGTGGGTGGGCGGGGATGAAACGGGGCGGGGGGTGGCGGTGTAGGGCAGCGCGTGGGCAGCGGCAGCGCGGCGGCCGCAGGCCGCTGCTGGCCCCCTGCTGCTTCGGGCGGCTGCCGTAGGGCCGGCGATGGGGCGCTCGCGTCTGGCACCGCCTTGGCTCCCAGGACGCCGGTGCCGCCCTTCTTTAGGCGCCCTGCCGGCGCCCTGGTGGCGAGTGTATGGGCCCATCCCTGGCCTCCCTGCGAGTGTGTGGGCCCATACAATCCCTGCCCTGCCTGCCTGCCTGCCTGCAGCCATCTGCAAGGATCTCGACCTGGATGTGTGCTTCAAGGTCGACCCCAAGCTGCAGGCCAGGTGGGGTAGCGGCGCTGGGGGGTGTGGCTGGTCTGGGGTGCAAGCGCAGCCCTCTGCATGCTGGGAGAGGCCAGCTGCAAGCCAGGGGCCGGGCGGCGCTGCAGGGTGTGGGATCAGGGCGGGGGAGGCGTGGCAAAGGGAGTGTGGGCTGGAGCTGGGCAAGCCCGCCTGGAGTGCTGGTGGCGTGCCTCCCCGTCTCCCTCGCACGCCTGCCATCTCGCCTGCCGTCCCGCCTGCCGTCTCACCGCCGCTCCCTCGCCGCCGCACCCGCTTGTCTCAGCTCCACCCGCGCCCCCACCCCGCCGCCGCTGCCGCAGGGTGGCCGCGCAGCTGGCGGCGGACGCTGCTTTCTTGGAGGAGATCCGGGTGATGGACTATTCTATGCTGCTGGGGGTGCACCGCAGGCACCTGGGAGAGACCAGCGCCTCGCCGCTCAATACCGACAAGGTCGGGGCAGCTGGGAGTGCTGTGTGTGGGTGTGGGTGTGGTGTCCTGGCGGGGCTGGGTTTGGGAGGGCGCGGACGGAGGGCGGGGGCAGCAGCGGCGGGGGCGACGAGCTGGAGGGCGCCGCGGCGGCGGGCTTGGGTGGGCTTGGCTCACCGCAGCCGGCCTTTGGCTTCAGACCGGCTGCGCAGGGTGCAGGGTGCATGCACGGGTGCCAGCCCGCCTGCCCAGCGCCTGCCGCTGCCGGTGCTGCCCAACCGCTGCAGGAGGACGACGATGCGTACCTGTCGGCTGAGGAGGCGGCGGGACTGGATGAGGCGGAGGGCAGCGACGAGGGCAGCGAGGAGGAGGAGGGGGAGGGGTCGTACGCTTTCCACCCAGCCTCCAGCGCCAGCCTGCTGCCACCCACCTCCTCCGGTAGCCTCCTGCCGGCCACGTCGAGCGGCAGCTTTGCGGGGCCGCCGGCCGCGCTGCGTCAGGCGGCAGACAGCCGGCGGGCGCGGCGCTCCTCCTCAGGTGCGCACCTCTCAGCCCAGCCCCGATGGATGCCTGCTGCGGGGTCTCCGCGCTCTGCGTGGATGCCTGCCGCATGGCGCTGCTGCCTGCCAGGCGCATGCCTGCGACCCAGGCTGCCGCCTCGGGTGGCACCAGGCGGCAGCCGGCGCCCTGCCCTCGCCCTGCCTTTGCCCTCGCTCCCCCGGGCTGCTAGCAGCCTGCACGCGCCCACGCTCCCTCCCACCACCACACACAGCAGCAGCACCACCACCACCACCCTGCCCCTGCTACATGATCCCTGCCCCTGTGGCATATCCCCGCTTCCTGCTGCAGGCCTGGCGGTGGCGCCCACCCCAGACACCGACGCCGACGTCATGCGCAGCGTGCACAGCATGACGGTGGAGCAGCAGGCGCAGCAGCTGTCGCCCAGACGTGAGGCCCTGCCGCCTGCCCGCCTGCCTGCCCGCCCGCCTGCCTCTCCATGCCTTGTGGCGTCAATCAGCCGGCTTGATGTTTCTTTTGGTGGCAGCATCTTGCTGTGCCTTGAGGTCCCGTGCGCCGTGCTAAATCGGTGGCCCGGCTGCCGTGCGCCGCCTGAATCCGCGCCTGCAGCCGAGAGCCGCAGCCCGTCCTTCCTCCTCAAAGGCGCCTGGCGCTCCTTCACCGCCGGCAGCGGGCAACGGCGCGGCTCGCAGCCGCAGCTGGCGCCCGCGCTGGGGCAGCAGCCCGGCCAGACGCAGCAGCCGCCTGCCTCTGCACAGATCACGCCTCGAGTGCAGCCCTCCATCCTGCCCACGCCGCGCATGGCCGCCGCCGCCCCGGTACCGCAGCTGCTGCCCAACGGCAGCAGCAGATTGCAGCCGCCGGCGGCGGCTTCGCCGGGCATCGGCGCTGCGCTGCGTGCCGCCGCCGCCTTCGAGGCAGACGCGGGCGGCGAGGCGGCGGCCGATGCGGCGCCTGCGCAGCCGGCGATGAATGGCGAGGCAGGCGGCCGGCGGCAGGCCAAGGCGCGGCAGGCGGAGCCGCGCTTGGAGCAGCAGCTGGCGCAGCAGCTGGCGCAGCAGCTGCGGCTGGAGGAGGGGCAGGAGGCGGCGGCGGGGGAGCAGCTTGACCCGCTGCCTACCTGGCGGTCTGATGCGGTGCAGCTTCCCGAGCAGTTCCTCCTGCCAGACGGTATCCCGGTATCCCCCACCGCCAGCCTGGATACCACCGGCAGCATGCACCGGGGCCGCGGCAGGCAAGCGTGGCTGCTGCGCCTGAGCCGCCGCGCGTTGCATGCGGCGATGTGTAGGGTGGTGGTGTGCTGGTGATGCGCTGGCAAATGGCTGCTTGAGCGCCCTGGTGCTAAGCCTGCAGCAGCTCTGTTTGTTTGTCTATCGTTTGTGCCCACCACCGCCGCCAGCCTGCTGCTGCACGCCCCGCCTGCAGCGCCGCGCCGGCTCTAGGCTCCATCCTTGAGCAGCCCGGATCTGGGCGGGAGCAGGAGCAGGAGGAGGAGCCGCAGGCTGGGGAGGAGCGGCAGCGGCAGGGCGAGGCGGCGCAGGCAGCAGCGGCAGACGCGGCAGCGGGAGCGGGCGGCGGCGGGGAGCCAGGATCAGCGAGCGAGAGCACACCGCAGCCGGGAGCGCCAGCCTACCACCCCCACCGAGCGCCCTTTGGCGGCAGCACCGCCTCGCCGCAGCCGCCGCTGGTGGCGGCGGCGGCGGCAGTAGACGCCTCCCCGGCCAGCAGCCTGGCCAGCAGCGCCGCCACCATGCCCACCTCTGCATTTGCCTCGGCGGCGGCGCCGCGCGGCCTGCCGCTGCCGGGCGGCGTGCCGCGCATCGCGCTGCAGGCGGTGCCGCAGCCCTCGCTGCAGCCGGCAGGGGAGAGCAACGACTGGATGGAGTATGCTCAGAGCGTGAGCGATGCGGGGCTGTCGGGGCACGGCTCCGACCTGCGCAGCAGCAGCCGGCGCCAGCGCAGCGCCACCCCCGACAGCGACGCCGCCTCCACACCCATCTCCAGCTACCGCCGCCACACCACCCCGCTGCCCGCCGGCGGCGGCATCGTAGACGTCAGCCGTCTGCTGCAGCAGGGTGGCAGCCCCAGCCCGCCTGTGGCGCCCAGCGGCCGCGGCCCGGCCTCGGCGCCCGCCACCTCGCGGCCGCCGGCAGCGGTGTCGACAGGGGGCAGCGGCGGCGGCGCCGTCCACCGCTTGGCGCACGCGGCAGGGCCCGAGCCGCCGCCGCCGCCGTCTGGCAGCGCGACGGCGCGTCCGGCGGCGGCCGACAGCGCCTCCGAAGCGCCCTCCCCCGACCAGCCGACCCCCGCCAGCGGCGGCAGCCGCGGCCGCGACGGCACGGGCCTGGCGCGCACTGCCAGCGCGCCCGCCGGCGCGCTGCTGGCGGCGGCGACGGTGGAGGGGCAGCGCCGCCACCTGGCGCACCACCGCGGCATGAGCATGGTGGTGGGCAGGGAGGCATCGGTGGTGGACCTGGCTTCGCCCGAGGCAGCGGCGGTGGCTGGTCGCATCACCACACGCCTCCCCCGCAAGGTCACCGACCAGCTGGTGCAGGTGGGGCCTGCAGCCTGGCAGTCCTGCCGCTGCGTGGGGCTGCCTGCTGGGCGGGGCAGGGATGCCTGCTGGATTGGCCGCGTGTGGGGAGGCGGGTGCAGGGGCCTCGGGCTCGGCGGGAGACGCTTCGTGTGCCGGCCTGGACTCTTGATTTCAGCCTTGGGCGCATCAGCGGGTGCCCGCTGATAGGGATCAGCGGGCGACGCAGGCGCGCCCCTGCATTCCCGCAAACGCCACCCCGCTCACCGCCGCCGCCGCCGCCCTCTTCCACCTGCCTGCCGCTGTGCCAGGACCTGGTGAAGCTGGCGCGGTACCGCATGGTGGGGGCAATATCCCACTCCCCCTCGGCCCGCCAGAGCCGCGTGCCCACCACCGTGCTGGCTGCCCGCCACATGCGGCGCAGCAGCGGCGGCGCCTCCCCCCACGCCCACCACCACCACCACTCCTCCCAGGATGAGGCAGGCGCGGTGACCCCCGGGGGCCCAGGGGCAGGGCCAGGGGAGGAGGCGGCGCCGCCGCCGCGCCTGGGCATGGGCATGCCGGCGGTGGCTGTGAGCCAGCAGGCGGGGCAGGGGCCGGAGGAGGTGGTGCTGTTCTTCGGCATCATCGACTTCCTGCAGGTACGGCTGGTACCGCTCATGATGTACTGCCCTGTTGTACTGCAGTCCTGTGCACTGGCCCGTAGGGTTGCACGTGTCTGGTGGAAACCTGGCCGGGCCTGAGCTTGTGCCAGCTCCACCCGGCCGCCTCTCCGCTCCCCTGCTGCCCGGGGTGCCGCCTGATGTACCGCACTGCCCGATTGTACTGCCATGCTGTACCACAGGAGTACAACATGCGCAAGATGCTGGAGCACTCGTTCAAGGCGGTGGTGCAGGACGCCAAGGGCATCTCGGGTGGGTGCTGCTGTTGCGTTTTGCGCACCCAGCTGCTCACAGCTTGCTCACAGCTTGCTCACAGCTCACTCGCGCCCCGTGCCCCTCCCCCTCCTCCCGGCCCTGGCCGCAGTGGTGGAGCCGCGTGCCTACGCCAAGCGCTTCCTAAAGTTCATGGACCGAGTGTTTCCGCCGCCCGGCAGCAGCGGCAGCAATGCCTAGCAGCAGCTACTTATAAGCGATAGCCGGCACACCAAATTAAGCAGCCCGGCACCATCTAACGCCCACATATCCCAGCACTGCCCATTTCGTCGTACTGTTGTCTGCATGTCGTCCTTTCCCCCCTCGGTACTGCCTGAACTACTGCTGCTGGTGCCCCCGGCCTGATCTCACGTCCCTCGGCCTGCCCACCTCGCTTTCCTGCCTCAGTCTCAGTCAAACGAACTCTCTCAGTCAAATCACATGTGAGGCAATCGAGGGACTAATAGGGGGAGGGTTTGTTAGGGGCAGGGGGAGGAAACGCAACCGTGCAGGAAGGGGCGGAGCAAAGGGGGGAGCTACGCGCATAGGCGGGTGGGCGCGTGCCCAGTAAGGTGGGGTGGTGGTACAGAGCCGCCCGGGGAGTGTGTTTGGCGGCCATGCCAAGGCGGCGCAGCAAACCACAAGTCAGGGGCCGGAAAAAGCATTGAGCAGAAGGAGCAGGAGTGGCAGGGGAGCGGGCTGGCTGTGGCTGCCTACATACAGTCTGTGCTATGCTGGCAAGATAGGTGGCTATCTGTGCTGCCTGGGGAGGGAAGAATGAAAGTGCAACTGCCGCCGTGAAGACAGACGCAGGGGCCTGGCCTGGAAGCGCATGAAATGGGGGGCTGGCCAGGAGGGTAAGCGGCGCGGGTCGGCAGCACCGTCGCCGGCTGGCCGCTGCGCCGTTGGCTGCGCGCCCTGGCGGGCGTCAGCTGATGACACAGCAGCCTTTGCTCTGCTGCTCCTGCTGCTTGGGGCCCGACACCTTGGCTAGCTGGGGTGGCCGCAGCACCACATGCATCGTCACGATTGTGTCGGAACCCGGCTCTCCAAACACATGCCGCAAGCCTGCGCACGGCACCAGCAGCCACACTTGTTTCTACACCACAGCAAAGCCTTCGTCATGAGGGGAACCAGCTGCGGCTGCGGGTACCAGCAGCAGCAGCAAGAGCGCAGCCAGGCGCCAGCCCACTCACTGCCAAGAACTACGTTGTTTTCTAGAAACTTCCCGGCGCATATCAACTTGATCTCCGCCACCGAGGCGGGCCGCTCAGCCGCAAGCGGGCCCTCTGCAACCCGGGGCGGAGGCAGGCGGGCGGCGGCACCGTCAGCCGGGAGGCGCGGGGCGGAGCCAGCACAGAAGACCAGCACAGTGCTGCCAAGGGCCAGCGCAAAAACAGCGCTTCGGCGCAGGCCGGAGGCGCGAGCCGTGAAATCAGGTGTTCGGTCAAGGACCCCCAAGCCGATCGCGCCGCGGCCCCTGGCTTGCCTGTGGGCCACTCCTGCAGCAGCTTCTCCTTCAGCCCGCCCAGTGGTGCGGTGAGCGCAAAGGTGTAGGGGCCGCTGTCCACGCCGCAGGTGTGGCGAAAACGCACTTGAGCTGTTGTTCCCATCCAGCCAGCCCCACGCCCGTCGGGGCGCAGCTGGGCAGTGTGTGCAGAGCAGGGGGGACACCGGGCGCGTTGGACACGTCGGGACGGCGGCTGGGAGAAGCAACCGAACCGAGTACAACCTTTGGAAGATGTGCAGCAGCGCAGAGGGGCGGCGGTGGAGAGGAGCGTCCTGGCTAGATGCGCCAGCGGGGCGCTTCCGCCAGGCGGACGGCAACCTGGTTGCCGTGGGTCTCCGCAGGAGGCGCTGCAGCAATGCACGGCTGGTCAGGGGAAGCCTGGTGATGGGAGCCATGGTGGGCTGTCCTGCAACATTTGCACTCGCTCCCAGCTCCTGGCTGATCCGCTGCCCGCCCTCCCGCTGCCGACCGGCAACGCCAGCGCAGTATGACCGCTCCAAACCGGTGATGCTGCAGCCAAGACCCCACAGCAGCTCCTACCGCATTTACAGGTACGCTTCGAGCAGTCTGGGCTGGCAATGCGCATCCAAGGATGTTGTGGCTACAGCAGAAAACAATGCAGAGGTGGTAGCGGGTAACGGGAGACACGGCTGCCTAGGGAGCGCTCTAAACCTGGCGATGTCTACATACTAGGCAGCTGGATCGAGTCGGCAAGTGAACGAGCTAGACTAGAGAGGGATTCAAGCAGCCGCCGCGCCACCTTCCCCGCCGGCCGCCGCCTGGGCCTGCTGGCTGCGCCGCCGCACCCGCTGCGCCCATGCCAGGTTTGGCGGGGTGATGGGCCCCGGCTCATAGTGCCACCCTTGGCATGGCGTGCTGCTGCCCGCCGCCAGCTCAAACTTCACGCCCACAAACGTCAGCTCCGAGCCATAGCCGCAGCTGCCGCCGCCGCCGCCGCCGTCGTCGCTGTGCCGCGGCGGCAGGTGCGTGCCGCCGTAGCTGCGAACGTTCCAGAACACGGTGCGGGCTGGCAGCCCAGTGTTGGGTCTTGAGGAGGGCGGGCTGGCAGAGGCGAAGCCGCCAGGTGTGTCGCCCACATGCACATCGGTAAACAGGATCTGGGAGGCGGCGGGGCTGCAGGCGGCGGGGCAGGGCGGGCGCACGCGCGCGGCATAGCGACGTGTGATACACTCGCTCCATGGCAGCAAGGCTTCCCGCCGCCGCTGCTGCCGCTGCTGCCGCTGCCGCAGCTGCCGCTGCCGTTGCGGCTGCCACCACATAGGCTAGGCCCACACGCTGGCCGCGCAGCTTCTCCCACCCTTGCACCGCCGCCACTCACACCAGCCCACCTGTGCAGCTCCAGGTTGCCCTCAGTCAGGAAGCCGCGCTCAAAGACGCAGAGCCGGGCGGCGCCCCGCACCCCCACGCCGTGCACCATGCGCGTGTGCACCAGAAAGTCGGTGACGAGGATGTCTGCGCTGCCGCCGCCTGCGCCGCGAGGGAGAGGGTGCGTAAGCGTCACGGCTCTGGGCGACGGCGGGGTGCCGGGTGTGCTGCCTTGGGGTGCCTGCCTGGCTGGCTGGCTGCCCGGCTGGCTGGCTGGGAACGCAAAACTGCAAATACCCCGCCCGTCCCGAGGCTTGGCAGCAGCAGCCCCCGAGCTCCCCCACCCCCTGGCGCGGCGCCACAGCTCACCGACACGTACGCCCCAGTGCCCCTCCGCCCGCTCGGGGCCGCCGTGCCGCGGCTTGGTGGCCGACACATCCAGCAGCCGCACCGTCACCCTCTCGCTGCCCTCCACCGCCACCCCCTCATCCCCATTCACCACCCCCACGTCGCTAACCCAGCAGTCGGCGGCCCCCGACAGCCGCACGCCCGTGCGCCCGGCCCCCTGCTTCTCCCCGGCGGCGTGCCCGGCGTAGGGCTGCCACTTGAACTGCAGGGGCAGGGGCACACGGGCCGGCGGCGCTAGGGGAGTGTGGAGCTAAGGTGCGTGAGAACCTGGGCTGGCTGGGACTGCCGGCGGCCGCTGCAGGAGCCGGACAGCAGCAAATAGGCACAGGCGCAACGCGGCACAGCACAGCGCAGCACAGCAAAGCAAAGCACAAACACAGCATGGCACGGCACAGCAAGCTCGGACACAGCGCTGCCAGCGACGGCAGCGGCGGCAGGGAAGGGGCGTACCCGCAGCGAGAGGCGCTCGATGCCCACGTCGTGCGCGGCGGCCGTGCGGCGGACCAGGACTGCGGCCGCGGGATGCAGGGGGCAGGGCCTCAGCCGGTCGGGGTGCCGACAGCTGCTGTGTTTTGATGTTGGCACCTAAACAGTGCGTGAACAGTCACCATGCAATCACAGGCACCATGCATCAGGAGCATCAGCAGGCGCCCTGCGTTCCCAGGCGCCTGGTGAAAGCCCTGCTGCATGCATGCCGCAGGCGATCTGCCGACCAGCTGCACGCAGCGCGCAGCCACCCAGCCCACACCCACCTGGCTCCAGCTCGGGCCGCACAGCAAGCGGCAGCGGCCGCTCCAGGGTGACCTCGTGGTTTGTGACGGCCAGCACGCGGCTGGTGAAGCGCACGGCTCCCTCCCCACTGCACACACGTGCGGCGGCGCCGTGGCACAGCCTTGTTGGCGGTGCGCGGCGCGGCAGGCTGGCAGCGAGGCTGCCCAGCACGCCAACAGCATGACTGCTTGGGAGGAGGTGGGCTGGAATTCGGGGCAGGTAGGCGCGCGACGCAGCGAGGCTACTCACGCCTCTTGCATCGACTCCCCGTCGCCGCCGCCGCCGTTGCTGCCGTTGCTGTCGCCTTCATATACCAGAGTGACCAGCTGGCCAGCCTTGAGGCCAGAGGGGTCGTCCACCTGCAGGGTGGAGGCGCCCCGCGGCGCCGCCGCCACCACCCGCGCCAGCTGCCGCTCCTCCCACCCTCCCTCCACATTGATCCAGGCCGCGGGCATGGGCACGGCGCCCTTCTTGCCGTCTGCACCAGGCCGGGCGATGCAAGAGGACGTGCCAATGTGTGACGCCAGCTTCTCCACAGCTGCATCACGGTGCCTGCCGGCAGAAGATCCGCGGCACGGCGGCCACCGGGGCGTGCATGTGCTGCACGCCGCGCCCACCTGCCGCCCCCGCCAGGCTGTTGGGCAGGTACAGGGTGGTCTTGGTGCGGCCCGCCCCGCGTAGCACCGTCTTTGGGCGCGTTATGGTGATGGGTCGCTCAATTGTGAAGGTGCCGACCGGCATGTAGAGCACCACCCAGCCTGCGGCAGGCAAACCCCAAGAGCATGCGAGCTTACAGTGCTGTGGGGCCGCTGCGGGGCCGCAGGCTGGTGCTTGGAAGGGCTCTTGGCTTGCAGCACGGCCGCACCCCTCCTCACTGCTGCCTCCTCGCACATGCACACACCATCTGGCAGCGCTTGTTGGGCCCCTCCACACCACCCTCCTCCACCTGCCCTGCTGCCGCCTCCTCCTCCTTCAAACGCACCCGCATCCGGCGGCTGCTTGTTGGCCCAGGCCACCATCGCCTCCAGGGCCTCGGTGCTGGACCGCCCCTTGTGGCCCCGCTTGAACTGCCTGAAATTGCGGGTCAGCGGCGGGCCCGGGATGGGCTCCGTGCCGCCGCGGTAGCCTGCGGCAGGGAGGTGGCGTCTCTCTCAGGGAGGAGGTGGGGACGGGACGCGATGGGCAGAGGGCACGCCCCTGAGGGTCTGGCCAGGCGGCTGCCGGGCCCGGGTGCAGCACCCGCCTCGGCCTTGGCGCCTGCCCCAGAGCGCAGGAAGCAGGAAGCTTCCGCCTGCAGCGCAGCACCCACCTGCGAAGCTGAAGTCTGGGATGGGCCCATCTGCGGTCCAGCTCTCGCCCATCACGCCCCAGAGGCGGGAGTAGAGGGCCGCGGGTGGGCCGCGGGTGCCCGCCGCCGCCGCGGGCCACCAGCGAGAGTGCAGCGGCATGGAGGAGCCGGCGCCGGCGTGCTCGCTGCCTGCCAGATAGGCCATGAGCCCCCGCGCCCGCGACGGCAGGCTGTCGACGGCGGAGAGCTGGTTGAACGCCGCCGCCGCCAGCACGACCGCCGCCAGCACGACGCTGGGTGCCTGCGACAGGGAGGATGCGACGACGTGGGGTCAGGGCGCCTGCCGGGCGAGGCCGCGGTGCACCGCCACGCACGCCCCGGAGAAATCAATTGAGTTCCACTCACCTGCTGCATGAGTGCAGGGCGCTACCGCTTTCACACCATCGGATATTCCGGGGCTCCGCAATTAGGGTGGGGCTGCCTTACCCCGTGCTCCGTTTTCGGGGGGGGCAGGTGGCACCCATTTCACGCCCAGCACGAGCTCGTGGGGTTTCGCTTGTTTTGCCATTAAACGTGCCTAAAAGGCATTATACATCGAACCATTCACGTATGGATGTCTGCCGGCCTCATGCGGCTTCCCTTCTGCCGCTTTCCGGCATGTGCGCCATTTGGCGGCGGCTATAGGACCTGGAATGCCCATGTGTGGGAGTATCGGCAGCCCATCCACCTGCAACACGTGTTACAGGGCGGCTGAATGGGTTGACTGGACCTGACAAAATGCAGGCGCCGGGCTCCTTATGCATGCATGGCGGTTGGTCGGGGAAGGCGCTAATGGGCGCGCGCGGATAGCCCACTGTGGCGCGGGCCAGGGGCCAGGTGAGAAAAGCAGTCAAGGGAGGCGAATGGGCCTCGCAAGAATCAATCTTGGCAAACTGGGATTGCTCGACGCAAAATAATGGGATCTAAGAGTGAAATAAACTTGGGTTGGTTGTGTATCATCGATGTGCTCATGCCGTGGCGGTGGCCTCCAGGCCGCCGCCCAGCAGCTGCGCCTGCGGGGCGCCAGGCGCACGCTGCTGCTGCTGCTGCTGCTGCTGCTGCTGATCTTGCTGCTGCGACGGGGCTGCTGATGGGGCCGGCGGGTCGTCGACGATGGTGATGTGCAGGGGCTGGGTGACGGTCCAGGCGCCCCGCTCCCCTTCCACCTTGAGCTTCGCCAGCAGGTGGCGGCGCAGCTGCAGCTGCGACCAAAACAGGTTTGGCGGGGAAATCTCCCCGGGCTGGTAGTACCAGTCCTGGCACAGGCCGTACCGCGCCAGCTGTACCGCATCAAAGTTCACCCCCACAAACGTCAGGTCTGGACCAAAGGTGCACGCCCCGGGCCGCCCCTTGTTGTGCTGCGGCAGCGGCAGCACCCCGCTGTTGCTGCGGATGTTCCAGAACACGGTCCAGGCGCCGGTGTTGGGGCCGGAGGCGGGCGGGCCACCAGAGTAGAAGCCGCCGCCGGCGTACGCGCCGCCGCTGGCGTTGCCCAGGTGGATGTCCGTGAACAGGCACTGGGCTGCCAGGGCCCTGCAGGCGGGCAGGCAGCGAGGAGGATAGGCAGGCGGGCAGGGAGGAGGGCAGCAGAGCACGTCTTGTAGCAAAGAGCAGCGGCGTGAGGAGGAAGCTCTTGCAAGATTGAAGGCAGGCGGGCGGCGAGTGCACCCATGGCCCATCACCGCCACGTGCCACCACACACACCGCCCACCTGTGCAGCTCCAGGTTGCCCTGCCTCATCACGCCCCGCTCAATCACCGACAGCTGGCCCAGGGTGTCGGCCCCCACGCTGTGCACGGTGCGCTGGGCGATGGCAAAGTCGGTGACGCGGATGTCGGCGCTGCGGCCTGCGGCAGGTTTGGAAAGCTGGAAAGCTGGACAGCTGGAGAGTCGGGACGCAAACCAGTGGGTGGCAGTCGAGGTCGAGAGCGTGCGTGTGAGGTAGCAGTGCTGGCACCGGTGGTGTTGGTGTGTGGGCGGGGCGGGATGTGGAGGGGAGCCATGGGAGCGGTTGGCCCACGCCAAGGCAGCGGCTGCAGGCGGCGGCCGCGGCTGGCAGGCCAGGTGACATCAGCGGTCGCCGTCTCACCCACGCGCACGCCCCAGTGCCCCTCCTTCCCCTCGGGCCCGCCGGCGCGGGAGCGGGTCACCGACAGCTGCAGGCCCCGCAGGGTCACGCGGTCTGCGCCATCCACCAGCACGCCGTTGTCGGCATTCACAAACGCCACGTCCCTCACCCAACAGTCCGAGGCGCGCGACACCTCGATGCCGCTCCACCCGTGCTCCTGCGGGGGTGCCCGGTGTGCGGCAGACGTGCGGGCGGGTGACGGGCATGGGAAGGAGTCGGCGGGAAACGGGCGAGAGCAGGGAGAAGGAAGCACAAGGAGAAGCAGAACCACGAGTGGCCTGGTGGCCCTCACACCGCCAGAGCGCCGCCTGCCACCGCTACCCGCCATGCAGCCCAGCCTGCGGCCGCCGCATCTTCTCACGGACAGCGGCAGGGGTGCAAGGCCGGGTCCCGCCCTGACAAGGCAGCAGCTTTCTTCTCACCAGATGGTGCCCCCCGTATGCCTCCCAGCGGAATGCTAGCGTAAGCCCCTCCACCCCCGCATCATACAGCCGCGGCTGCCGGAACGTCAGCACTGCAGGCGGCGGCATTCAATGTTGGGGCAGGGGCAGGCAAGGGCTGTAGGTGGTGGGCCAGCTGCCGCGGGCGGCAGCGGCGCCACGTGCGCCGCCTCCGCGATGCACCTCCCCGCCATCCACACACCCATCAGGGCGCCCGCTGGATCCAGCAACAGGGCGGCCGGAACAGTTCTTTCATATGAAGGGATCCTTGAAGGAGCCTTCCCCTCGGGCCCCCCAGCACGGCCACCACCCAGCACTGCTGGTGGCACCCCGTTAGTGCACCTGGGCCAAACTCGGGCGCCACATCCAGCGGCAGCGCCCGCTCCAGGGTGACCACCCGCCCGCTCACGCCCCACACGCGGCTGGAGAAGCGGATGGACTTGTCCCTGCAGCCGGGCGGCCGGCAGGCAGGGAGAGACCATTAGTGGTAGTGACAGTGAGGGTGGGAGCCGGCGGGCACAGGCATGGCGCGCCCTGGCAGCTGCCCGGCGCCGCTGCTGCCGGTGGCGGGCAGGGGCCTGCCGCCCGGCCGCCTCACCGGAAGCGCTTGCTGGCCTGCAGCTTGTGGTTCAGCCTGCGCAGCAGGCAAGACAAGGAAGTGAAGTCGGCAGGCAGGTAGGCGGGCTCAGGGCCTGGGGCACGAAGCAGGCAGCAGCCCGCAGCCACCCTTCCAGCAGCAGCAGCCAGGAAACCACCCCTCCAAGCCCAGCAGCCCGGCAGCGGCCAGGCTCACAGCTCCTCCTGCAGCTGGGGCCCGCCGTTGGCAAACAGCTCCAGAGTGACCATGTCGCCTGCAGCACAGCGGTGGCCGCGGGCGGGGGTCGGGCCTGGCTATTGTGGTGGGTGTCCATGCAGGGGCAAAGTGCCTGTACAGGGACATGTCCCTTCCAGGGACCACTCGTGTGTGTGCCCCCTGGGTATCAGGTGGGGCCATGGGCGCATATCGTGGCAGGCGGGCTGAGGAGGGCGGCCAGGCAAGGGGCCCACCTGGTCGGATGGCGGCGGCGCTGTCCACCCGCAGCTTGTGCGAGCCTCGGGGCGCCGGCGCCGCCACGTGCGCCAGGTGTGTGCGCTTGATGCCGGTGCCCTCCAGGCTGATAAAGGCGCCCGTCCACACGTAGAAGCCGTTGTTGGTCTCGTTGGTGGGGCCTGGGAGAGGGGGAGGGTGGCGGTGGTGGTGTGGTGGGTGTGATTTTGCATGGGTGTGAGGCAGGCCACGTGCCGCGGCGGGGTCGCGGAGCGGCTGGGCTGGCTGGGCGGCGCTTGGTGCTTGGATGGGCTGGGCTAGGCTGGGCTGGGCTGGGCTGGGGAAGCAGAGCGCAGGCAGGCAGAGTGGCAGGCGCCTGGGAAAAAAGGCACATCCCAGGTGAGTCCTATACTCATCCTATGCCCCATAGGATGAGTATAGGATGAGCCGCCCATCCTATGGTGGACCTACCGCATCCTACCACCTGGGAGCTGGGCACGCTTATGCAGCATGTATGCTGTAAGGAGGGGCTGCTTCAGTGGGGTTGGATTAGGGAAGGCTCATCCTGAGGAGGACCCCGGGTGTCACATGCACTCCGAAAGGGGCAAGGGCCCCCAGCAAAGGGGGCCATGTGGTGTGCATGGGACCGGTGGTGGCGCCCGGTGTCTCGCCGCGGGGCGATGCCGATTGCGGATTCGGCAGGCTGAAAAATCCTGGATTGGATTGACCCTCCGCCAGGGCTGAGGAGTGGGCTGTCCAAAGTGGAGCGGGGGAGGCGGGCCAGCGGCAGCTGCGGACATGTGACCACTACGGCCGTGGCGCGGTGGGGCAGGGGCTGGGGCAGCGAGGGGCAGCGGGCGACAAGGGTGGCCATAGTCGCCCGCTGGTGGCATGGCGCCACCTGCAGCTCCGGGTAGCAGAGCAGAACAGTGGGACTGCTGCGTCGGCCGGCGCCGGTGCAGCAACGCCGGCGGCGGAGCAAAGGCGGCGTGGCCGCTTTCTCTAGTGCACTTGCGCCGCTAGCAATATCGTGTTGTGTGACTAGCGGAGACAGCGACGGCTGGTCAAGTGGCCTCTCATTTTCTCCCCTTGGCGCTGGAGCAATGGCTGAGAGGATAGATGGAAGCAGGCAGGGGCGGCGCTGTACGCCGGCGTGCTGCGGAGGCGGGGCGCGTACTGCAGGGGCGGCGGGCGGTGCCCTTCACGCCGCTTTCGCGCCGTAGTCCCCATTTTCGCTGCACCTGTTTTTGCAACAGCCAAATCATGCGGCGCACGCCTGGACGTTGGCCGTTGGGCCCAGCTGTTGTTCGGCTTTTGCTCTACCCGGACCAGCCTGCACTTGCACTGCCGTAACTTTGGTCGCTCTCACCACCAAAGCGGTTGGTCGCTGACGGTGGCCGGCGCAATGCGCTGAACAGCGGGCCAGGCCGGCCAACCCCCATGGCAGCGGGTAACACACCCTCCAACAGCTGCGCTTCAAGGTGATTGTGCTGAAGGAGAGCAGCGGCGGTGCGGCGTGGGTGCCACATGGTGGCGACTGGCGCCGCCGCCATGGCGCCATCCACGGCGGCAGCGGCAGTGCACTCCCTGGTCGGTGCTGCACCCATGCAACTGCCTAGACTGTCAGCCTCAGTGTATTGCTCCCGAATTCTTCTGCTGCTCAGGCTGGCCTAGAGTGAGCTCCTCCCGAGAGGGGCGTCCGTGACGGCGCACCGCGTCCCGCAGCTCCTTGCCCACCCGCTTCCCTCCACCAGCCAGCACTCCGCTGCCACGGACAAGTTGCTGTGGCTTGAACAGCTTCATCACTGTGACATGCATGCGTTCAGGTGTGTGTAGGATGTGTGCATCTTGTGTGGCGAGGGGAGCAGCACTTGTCTCATGTACACCAGAAGGGAAGTCGACACCAGCGCTCCTACCCCTTCTGGTGTTCGTGTGACATGCCCTGTTCCATCCCTTGCTGCAGCTCTTGTTGGCACACATATGAAACGATGTGCCAGCGAGGCAGATCGCTGCGGGCTCCAACCAGCGCTGCGGGGGCCCCGTGGCATGAGCTCGCCCTCCTCACACCAACGGCATCAGCTGCCTGCCAGTCAAGCTGCCCAAACGGCGGCAACAGCGGCATGGCGCACCTGTTGGCCAGCCCTGCCTGCCCGTCTGGTGTGCGCTAGTCCTGCCTGCCGCTGGCAGCAGCGGGGCGGACCGGTGCAGCAGCGTGCACCGGGCAGCAACGTCGGGAATGTCGCACACGTTTTGCCCTTGGTGCTATCGCCATGCTGTGCCTTTTTTCTGCATCATGCTCCCCGCCCTGCCCCTTGGCTGCACTATTGCGTTTCATGCTCTCTTCCAAGTGACTCCGTACCATGCAAGCAAGCCTAAACCAGAGAGAAAGTGTTGTGAGCTGGACATCCTATTTCTTTCACTTTTGTCCTGCTGGGGTCCTACTGAGGTCCTACTGGCGTCCTACTGGGGTCCTACTGGGGTCCTATGCTATAGTGCAGGTAGGATCCAGGTAGGATGCAATGGTATCCTATGCACATCCTAGGTGGGCTCCAGGTAGGATGTGCATAGGATACACCTAGGACGTGGCCGTAACCCTAGTGGGCAGGCAGGCAGGGCGGCAGGGAAGGCAGGCAGAGCGGCAGCCGGCCCCGCCCATTCCCCGCCGATTCGCTCCCCCCCACCTCCACCCGCCCCCTCCACGCCAGCCAGCCCCTGCGCTCACCGTACAGCTGCATGAGGCTGCGGGGCACGTAGAGCTTGGTGCGGGCGCTGCCCGCGCCGCGCAGCACCGTCCTGGGGCGGGTGATGGTGAGGGGGGCCTCGAGGCGGAAGGTGCCGCGCGGGATGGAGAGCACCAGCCAGCCTGGAGGGGGGCGGGGGGGGCAGGTACGGGAGGAGGCAGGGGAGGAGGCAGGGATCAGGAGTTCGGCGGAGGAGTGAGGGGGCAGGCGGGTGGGGCAAGGGAGCTGTGTCCCTTCCCCGCCCATCACCACCACCACAGAGACCAACACACACACACTCATGCACACACCTGCCTCCAGCAGCCGCCACCTGGCTCGCCACCCACACCCTCAAAACCCACCTGCGTCCAGCGGCTGCCGGTTGGCCCAGCCCACCATTGCCAGCAGGGCCTCGCTGTCGCTGCGCCGCCGCCCCGCCTGCCCCGCGCGGAAGTCGCGCAGGGAGCGGGTGGCGGGCGGGGAGGGCGGCACCTCGTTGTTGTGGCGGTAGCCTGCAGGCGGGGTGCGTCGCGTGAGGGGCGTGGCAGGTGGCGTGGGCGGGCTGGGTGGATGCGTGGCACCGGGGGCAAGGGTGGGACAGGGAGGCTGCACTGCACGTGTGGCGGGCCGCCCCTGCAGAGCCACCGTGCGCGCTGCGAGAGGCGCCCGTAGCGGCGCGGTGTGCGCTGTTGCCACACACCCACCTGCTACCGCATACTTGTGACAACAGCGCAGCTGCCCAAGAAGCTGCCATGCACCCACCTGCGAAGCTGAAGTCCATGAAGGGACCCTGCTCCGTGAAGTTTTCTCCCGCCACCCCCCACAGCCGGTAGTACGGCGCGGCCGCCAGGTGGCGCTGCCCCGGCGGCAGCTGCCCCGCCGGCAGCTGGCCCTGCGCCAGCTGCTCGGCCCCGCCGCCGCCCGCCGCGCTCAGCAGGGCGCCCACCAGTCCGCCCTGCCCCACGTGCAGCTGGTTGTATGTGGCGGCGGTCACAAAGAGGGCCGCTATCTGCGGTGGGCGAGGGACGCAGTGGCAGGGGTGGTGCAGTGTGGGTGGCAGGAGACGGGCTCCAGATGCGGCTGGTTCATGTTTCTTGATGGAAAGATGATGAGCATAGCAAGCGGGAGGCTGGTCCGCGGCTGCAAGCCGCGATGCACTGATTGCAAGCGGCGGCGTAGCGGCGCACAACCGGCCCCGCCGCTGGCACACTGACCACTTTGCTCCAGCCCTGCAGCGCACACGCCATCGTGGGTTAGGCTCAGCCATGCATTACATGCAAAGCAATTGGGCCAGCGTGCAGCAGGGTCTGAGCAGGAGGCGGCCATCGGGCTTGCGCCGGTGTCGGGGGCTTACCGGAAGCAGCATTGCTGGATCAGGCTGCTGCTAATAATAATGCGGCCCCAGCTACGACCAGAGGATGCGAAACAACGAAAATATTCTGTAGTGCACCATCTCTTGCTTGCTGCCCCCACAGTGGCAGATGGTCCTCCGCTCATCGGCCCTAGACATTCTGAGATCTCTCCGTGGAGCCTTCTGCCTGCATGCCATCCTTGACCCCATTGAAACGCCGATGGAGGTGCCGCGCCGCTGCTAGCGGCCCAATTGGTTTGGGGCAAGCGCCCTGCCGCCGCCGCTGCTGGCACTGGCCTTGCGGCGGGGGCCCTGTGTGAGATATGCGACATCCGATCCAAGAATATTCAAGTCAATCAATAGAGCCATGTTTCTGGTGACAGGCCTGCACAGCCAGCTGAAAAGGCCTCTGCTGCCACCCCATCTGCCAGCCGAGTGCACAAACTGGTCGGGACCGCCTCCGGCCTGGGTGGGAGCAGCCGCCTGGATGGATAATTTTGTCTTGGCCGCTGGAACGCGTCCCACATGCAACTCCTGGATTGGTGCATGCTGCGCCGCTTTCTAATGCTGGTCTGTCGAGGTGCATGAGGGGGACGATGCGCCCGCGGGGGAACGCGGCAGCGTGGCAAGCTGCAACACTGTCCGCTGAGGGGCGCGGCGCAAGCCCATGAGTGCCAGCTTCTTGTGGCCTGGGACGTAATTGCGGAGCCGGGTGCATTGCTGGCAGTGGCATGCATGCACCACTTGTCTGGTGGCGGCGGCCCCCCGGTGCGGCGGCACGACGCGAGCGCTGTGCCAACAAGACCCCAAACCTGCCACGTCCCTGGCCAGCGTCTTCGACCATCGCCTACGTTACAGTCATCGGGAGCTTGCGGCTTGGTCGCGCCATTGATGGCCACTGAAAAGTGACGGCCAGTGGCGTGCCGGAGGCCTCCAGCTGCTGCGGAGGTGCAAATCAACGACTCATGTGCAGCGCAGACGCTTGTGTGCATCGCCCCGCTGATCGCTGCGGACCCCTGCCTACCCGTCTGGCCGCTCGCCCGCCCCGCTCAGCAGCGCCTGCGCCCACCAGACATCCTGCTTCAGCACAATCAGCACCAACTTCTACTCCTGTATGGCAGCTGCTAGCGACATCCGTGCGCTGGTGAGGCGGTTGGGCAGCCGCAGTAGACGCTGCGAGCTGGAGGCAGCCAGCACGCTTGCTGACCTCTCTTACAGCCAAGACAACTGGCCGGCCATTGCAGCAGCAGGCGGCATCCCAGCCCTGGTGGAGCACCTGGACAGCACTGGCAGCAGGGCAGTGCAGGAGAGGTGCACGTGTGCCCTTGGTTACCTTGTTGGCCGCGATGGCGCCGACGACAACAGGGCAGCCATTGTGGCAGCGGGTGGCATCCCAGTGCTTGTGCGGCACCTGGCTAGCAGCGGCAGCGACGAAGTTAAGGGGCATGCAGTCGTCGCATTGCATAGCCTTTCAGATGGCGGGCCCAGCTACAAGGCTGCCGTAGCGGCAGCTGGCGGCATCCCGGTCTTGGTGCGGCACATGCGCACCAGCTCGCACATGCGCCCCAGCAGCGAGCTGGTGCAGCTGTTAGCAGCGTGTGCGGTTGCATGCATTTTGCCTGAGAGCGCCGACAGCACGGCAGCAGCTGCAGCAGCTGACGGAATCGCAGTGCTGGTGCAGCACCTGCGGGACAGCACCAATGAGGGCATGCAGGGAGTATCAGCCGTGGCTCTTGCGAGGATTTCGAACAACTGCGCTGCCAACAAGGCTGCCATGGTGGCAGCAGGCGGCATCCCAGTCCTGGTGCAGCGTTTGCGCAGCAGCAGCAGCGAGGATGTGCTGCAGTATGCAGCCCTGACGCTCTGTGCGCTGGCTGACGGCAGCCCAGACAGGTGTGCAGCCATTTCAGAGGCAGGCGCCATTCCAGCCTTGCAAGAGCTGCTGAGGAGCAGAGGGAGTGCGGATGTACGGGATGCGGCAGCTGATGCACTGGATATTCTCACCTCCATCTGGCAGCCAGAGACAGAGCCAGCACTGTCCAGTGCAGCGAGAGGGAGTGCCGTGCCGCCAGCGGCAGACGCCCCGCCCACAGCAGAGGCAGAGGCAGCGGATGCAGCAGACCCGACTGCTTCTTCCGCCCCTGCTGCGACAGCCAGGGTGTGCGCAGCCGAAGGCTGCACCAACACGCATGGCCTGCGCCGTTGTGGCGGGTGAGCGGTGCTGTGGATGGGATTGGCAGCCAGGGTGGCCCTGGGGCGCGCCGCCACCTGTCGGCCGCATTGACTCATTGCATCCGTGTGCTGCCATGTTTCTGGCGTGCAGGTGCAACACAGTCCGGTACTGCGGCGAGGCCTGCTGCCGCGCGCACTGGAAGGCGCACAGGCCCGAGTGCCGGCGCCTGCGCGCGGCTGCGGCTGCTGCACAGCCCTAGCATAAGGGCTGTTGGACTGCAGTGACTGAAACTTACCCACTTTGCGGTGGCTCCCTTGAAGGTCCTGCTGCCCCCCCTTTTCTACACGTGCATCTATGTGCAAGCCGCACATTACTTGCTTGCTTGCTTGGGCTGTAAGCTGTACATTGCTGGCAACCACATCCGGCGTTTGGCACAACGAACGCCGGTCCCGTGCCAGGGGTAAGACCAGCAGCACCAGGCAGGGCGCAAGCAGCAGGCCAAGGGGAGTGCTGGCAGGAAAGTGGGTACCGTGGAAAGAATGGAGCAGGCACCCGCAGGCCTTCCAGTGGTTTGGGCACGCCTCACGTGCAGCCATACTTGCGCGCCCACTCCACATGTCGCTGCACAACGTCGGAGCTGCATGGGCGGCAGGTGCAGGAGGGAGGGAGGGAGGGTGAGCAGTCAGCAGCCACGCCCGGGCGCTGGCGAGGAGCGCATGCGCTCAGTCCCGGGGCTGGCCTGCCAGCGGCAGAGCTGGGCCTGGCCGTGCTGCTGCCTGGGCAGGCGACTTGGGGAGGTGGTGGCCGGCATGCGGCAGTGCTACGCAGGCCCTGCCTCCTGCCCTGGCAATGCAGCCCCCTTAGCTGCATCCCCTGCCAACCCGCTTGGTGGGGGCGCTGGTGTTTCTGGGCATCACGCTCATGTCTGTGCCCTGCCAGCGGCTGGTACCAGCGGTACCGGGCTGGCATCTGCCCAGCCCGGCCCATCCTGGCGCCTACCACAGCCCACCTGCACGACGGGTTGGAGCGGCGCATGGCGGACTCAAAGTCGCGCCGCTCCACGCCGCCCACATTCAGCACGTGCTCCACCTCCGCCCGCATCGCCGCAAGGTCGGCGGCGGTGTCGAGGGGCCTGCGGGCAGGCGGAAAGGCAAGGCGGGAAGGAAAGAAAGAATGCGCTATTGGCTGTTTGAGCGAGGGAAGCCGAGCCAGGGTCGCTTCAGGCAAAGGGTTGCTGTGGGTGGGCAGCAAATCGGCCGGGTCAGGCGTGTGGCAAGCAAGGCACTGATTGTGACCCCAGCCTGTCCTCTGCTCCCTCTGCTCCTGCGCTGCGCCAGCTGAGCACTGCGCTCACCCCTTGCGCATGACCCGCCGCTTCACGCTCTCGCCCACTCGCTTGGTGAGGTTGTGGATGTCATCGCCGCTGCGACCACAGCAGGCACAGCACGTGTCATGCACAGTGTCATGCACAGCCTGGGCAAAGGGACGTCGCACATTCGCCATCCCCCACTCTCCCTTCCTGATCGCAGATGCACCCCACACAAGCCTCGCGAGGCAACAGGGCTGCGGCCCGGCCTGGCCCGGGGCCAGCACTGTCAGCGGGCAGGCAGACGCCGAGCCCCCTCAGGCAGGCAAGCAGGCAGCTCCCACCTGTAGCCCTCGGTAGCGGCGGCAATCTGTGCCAGGTCCACGTCGGGCCCCGTGCGCATGCCGCGCAGGTGCAGGCGCAGCAGCTGCTCGCGGTCGGCCCGGCTGGGCAGTGGGATGTAGATGCGCTTCTCCAGTCGCCTGCAAGGCGGGGCAGCGCGTGCATGCGCCCCATACTCAGCACATGTGTGCAGGGCTGGGAGCCGCTCTCGGAGCGCCGGTTGCCGCAGGCCCCGGGGTTGCCTGGCGCGCCGCCGGTCGGCCGGGGCGGCGGCAGCGTGGGCGGCGGCGAGCAGGCGAGGAGCCCGGGGCGGCGGCAGCAGGGTCCCAGGCATGCTGCCAGGCTGGCGGGCGGGGCAGGGTGGCCACGAGACCACCACTGGCGGCAGCGGCTTCCCAGGCAACGCGCTCTCCACCCGATGGAGGGGCCCTAAGCGTGGACCTAAGCGGGGTCCTAAAGCGGGGCCCGAAGCGAGTACAGGGCCAGTGCAGTACCACTGCGGTACCCCCTCACCCCCCCATCCCCACCTGCGCAGCGCATCATCCAGCGCCCAGGGGTGGTTGGTGGCGGCCAGCAGCATGACCGGCGGGGGGCGGCCCCCGGGCCGCCGCCGCCGCTCTGGATGCCGTCAATCTGCACAGGCAGGCAGGAGGCCAGGCGGCACACGCACCAGAGCGCTGGGCGTGGTGCGCCTGCTGGCGCCAGGTATAGCAAGCACTGCCAGGCCCCTCAGCCTGGTATGGCAGGTCCTGTCTCAGCCAGGCCTCTGCCACCGCCGGCGCTGCCACGGCTGGCAGCCGCGGCGCCAGCAGCGAGGCCTGCCTGCGTCAGCAGCTCCGTCTTGGTGCGGCGGGAGGCCTCGTGCTCGTTGGCGGCGCCCCGCTCCCTGCATGGCCACGCCAGTGGCGGCGGCGCCGGCGGCATCGCTTGGCAGAGCTCTCGGCGGCAGCGCTTGGCAGGGCCTGCCCGAGACCCCCTGGCACCACCTCAGCAACCTCCTCTCTAGTGAGCAGCGCCCTGATCCCCCCCCC